TAGAATCTCGTCTGACAGGACCTCACATTGTCTACTTACCCTATAGTGTTCCTGCCTAAACCCAGAGAAGTGCAGTAGCGAAAACATGGCAATGAAAAGGAAAGTTTTAAGCACTGAAGAGAAAGCTAAAGTGTTTCGTGAAATAGAAAATGGAAGGAGAAAAACACTGATGTATGCCGCGAATTTGGTTTGGTGAATTCTACAGTACAAATGATATGGAGAATCCATATTAATTCCACGTTAATGTTACGTTAGTCTGTACTTAACTACGTATTTCACTAAAAAATGCAACATTTTAACTCNGGGTTTTTCATATACATGTCTCAGTATCATTTTGTCAGACCCCATTTGTAATATGGGTTCTTCTTTCATGTCCTCAATTATGTATGCATGGCTGAAACCATCGGATCTAGGTTTCCATTCACTGCACTGGAGATGATAGATTCCTGCCCTGGCCTCTGCCTCCAACTGTAGATGCAGTGAGGGGAGTCCAAGGAGTATCTCCAGTGCAGCTGTTGGAGATGTTCGAATTGCCCCTGTGATACCTAGGGAAGCCAACCTTTGCAATTTGCTAAGTTCTACCTTGCTTGTCTTGAGTTTAACTCTGGGCCACCATACTGTGCCGCCATATGTAATTATGGGTCTTACAACCGCAGTATATATCCAATGCACAACGTGCGGCCGCAGTCCCCAAGTTTTACCAAACATGCTTCTGTATGTCCAAAAAGCCTTATAGGCTATGTTAATGACCTTGTCCAGCTGCTTTTTCCATGTCAGTTCCTTGTCTAATTTTAGACGAAGGTACTTGACATCACTGGGGAGCTGGATTGTCTTATTGAAGAGAGTCGGTTCCTTAAGGCCCTTTATATTTCTCTTCATAGTAAACGGTATAATTACCATCTTATTGGGATTGGTGGAAAGACTTGTTCTTTCACACTATCATTGGACCATGTACAGAGCTGTTTGAAGATGCTCTGATGCAGTCAAAAGGAATTTTCCATTTAT